CGAAAATGAGAAATTTTTTGTTAACAACCTTGCGAGGCTGACACAACGCGTCTCAAACTGACTTTTATGAAACTGATTGGACTATCAAAGCCTACGCACTACTCTTCTTTTTTTTTTTAATATATTCATTGAGGAAATATTCGTTTCAAATGAAAAAAGAAATTCATCATAAAGAAACGAATCTGTCGATATCTGTGACAGTGAAATATATCAATCTTTCTAAAGAAGTTTCTTCATCTTAACGTCGTTTCTTCATCCTAACGAAGATTGGAGTTTCGTGAAAGATCGTTTTTCACACGTCACGCCGATCATTCATTCCACCATTTCGTCTGGAACGCACTTATCCCCTCCTTCGTGACGGTCGAAAATCCGGCTGTGAAAATCCGTCTTCATAGTGATCCCGTAGCAATATAAATCGAGAACAGTCACGCGGACTAGCACGCGCGGCGAAAGCTCGCCGAAATTGGCCCCGATTCCGTGCCGTTAAACTCGGTCCGTTTCCCTCGTCAGCCCTCCGCCACGGACAGAGACAAGTGGATTTCAGAAAAACGGCGAAAGAAACCTATCCGTGGGATGAGCGTAGGATGACGGACGATCGCGCTGATCCTTTTATAGATTAATCGAATTCCTCCCGTGAAATAATCGTGTTAGATATCCCTTCATAAAGAAAAAGAAAAGAAAAAAAGAGAAAAAGAAAAAGAAAAAGAAAAAGCCTCGATTCTTGAATGTACAGTAATCGTGGAAGAAGAAGCATTCGCGAGTGTATAAACTTTCAAAGTTTACTCGAAATTAAAACCCAAAAGACTGGAAAATTCTTTCAACAACTTCCGACGAGATCCAGCGGATCTCCCTGGCCCCTTGATTTCAGATTAACAAAAAGGCAGAGTAATTAATCCGTGGATTAAATCCCTCCCCTGCTAATCCCAAGATGATACTGCCGAGATACGAACTTGATTTTTGAGGCATATTATATCATTAATACCACAAAAAGGATCACACGGTTGATTGGATTGAAATGGCGCAAAAAATTGGTGGAACTTGGAGGTGTTCGCAAATTAAAACTTACGATATGGTTGGGATATTTGAGACTTGTAATAACAAGTTGTCCGGTGATTTTCAAGTACGTAGGAATCGATTTACGCAGAATTGTATCGACAATGGAGCGACAGGAATTTCGTTCGTGCCTTGGTCTGCAATTAAGTTCTCACTATTGAACTCGATACTCCTCGGAAATTTCATTTAATTATTGAATTATTCAATAGACTATCAAGTGATATTTCATTCGTTGCATATTTTATTCTTCGATAGACTGCACCATCGTTAAGTATTCGTCTTGATGTTAGAAATATATGATGAGACTTTCTCTCGATTATCGTTGCCTTCATAAAAATATTACTTGCAGAGAGAAAGTAGAAACTCGATTAACGAAATGGAGAAGGTGAAATAAAAGTAGAGAGCAGACGTACGATAAAGTAATCGATCTATGTTTAAGTTTAATCACGTAATATACCATTTCCGTGCCGAACGTATGTTATTTGCAACGTAGCGACAAATCGATGTTGTCAACATTCGCGTTGACCCAGCCATTTGTCCTTTCAACTTTAGTCTCATTAATCTCATATCGAGCAGCTTCCGCGAAATTTAACAGAACTCAGAGTTTCGTGTGTAATCTTGCAGTGTCATCCGTGAATTATCCGCGGGTTATGTTATATTATAATTCAAGATATGCTCGAGTTTCAATTTTTTCTCTGACATTCATTGAAATTTTTCTTCCTATTTGCCTCAGGAGGGCGGTTTTATCATTACAAAATGATAATTGAATCGAGACGTCGTTTAATTTCATACCTCGCGCGTGGTTAACGACTCGAAAATTGCTCGAATACTTGTCCCATCTGGAGCAGTCAGTATGAAATGAACGACCCGTTAACGATTCGGCGGATCGAATCACGTTTCCTGCGTTAACGATGTGAAACGAAGTGAAAAACTGGACGCTTGATCCACGCTGAGCTCTTACAGAGTTAACGAGTTACAAATTTCAGATTTCTTCCACCGCTTTTTACAATTCCATTTTTTACTCTGAAAATTCTATTTTGTTTCTTGCGCGATACAAAGATAATCAACACACTTGAATACGAATCTTGTATAATTTCGATTCATCCGTTATATCGAATGTGTAATATATTTGCGGTAGTAACTTGTAAAGCTATTGATGTGCAACAACTTCGTTAAATTCCGCAACGTTGTTCTCGATACGCTTAATTGTACCGCACTTGACCAATTAGCAATTCAAACTTTGCTTTAATCACTTGCGCTGGCAACTGATTGCGGACCATAACGAGTGACCAAATCGTATACAATAATTCGTCGCATTCTTTTTGAACACTGTCGGTGTGATATCACTGGATAGAAATTATTGTGAAGTAATAAATTCACTATTTGTTTCGCCTATTTTGTTTTACTTAAGTGTACTTAAAACTGAGAAGATATTACAATGTTGGAACAAAAAATTCTCATGCATGGCACGTCATTCCAGCGCAAGAGATTAAAGAATCCGAAGAAATCACCTGAACATGTAATCTCGTCGCAGACGAGTGTTCCAAAAACGATCGCGTCCTTTAATCCTCGATTTCACGAGCCATCAACTTCGATTCGTATTCAAGCGGTTCAACGCTGGCAAGTCACGTGTTAAGAGTGAATTACTGCATCACCTTCTCTCTCTCTCTCTTTCTCTCTTCTTCCCTCAACCATACTCGCTGCACAACGTCGCCACCGTTCCGACGATACTCGAGAAAAGTTACGAGATTACGCAACGGATGGCACGCAATTTCCGTCACAGATTTACGTAAATCATTGCTGTTTCCCCGGCAGCGTCGGGAACATTAATTACACTAGCGACCGCGCATCCTCTGTCAGGCTTAATGCTGGCAGCGCCGGGTTATTAAATATCCAATGACCGGCACGGAATGCAATTTCCCTAGGAAAGAAAGCTCCGTTTTCGCGTGTGCCACTTCGTTACATCGTCACATCCAAAGATTCGTCCACGCGTATCTCAGTCTGAATCGAATACAAAAACAGAAAAAAGAACACTTTACTGTGTTTCTATCATTGCAACTTTAAAGTATCATTTTCTGACTCTGTGCACAGTCATCGACTCACTTGCAGCGTTGAAAGTTAAAATGAATTATCTTTGGTAATTTAGAAATTATATACCATCTCAACGCGTCGATTTCCATAAACAGACAATCGTGTCGTTTCGTTCGGCAGAACGAATCAGAGAATCACGCGACTACGTGAAAATTCGTTATTTGACTCGTTCGGTGGTTAACGGGTAGCTTTTATCAAATATAATAATTGGCCCATTTCCTCCTGTTGATCAGTCACGTTTGCGTTTGATCGTTCGGATTGCTTACCAATTCCTCGCGCGTTCTTCGCGAATGAAATTTATTCGCGATCGCGCGAGCAAGGAATCGAAACCGACGAGTTTTATATCGCATACATCGACGCGTACGTATCTGGGTCATCTTCATAAAAGCCATCTTTATTACGTACCTGGCGTGCCCTGCGCCTTGCGCATGGAATTGATTCCATACTTTTGATTATCTTTTCCTCTAGCCAGGCTAAGCATACACCGAGGACCGCGTAGTTTCGTGCTCGTGGACACTTTGCATGCTGGCCGAGCAGAAATATTCGACGAAAGAAGCGGAGCACGCTGATTAGCTTTTCGTTTTGTTTCTCGAAATTTCGTCGAATAGCCTGCGTCTCCTCGTACCGATCGCTTCAAACGGCTTCGAGTTTCTTCGAGTGCAAAAATTATTCGCAAAGGAGCGTGATTTTGTACAAAAGTAAACCTTACAGAATCGCTAGATGATAGAATCAATATCGAAAGATGGAGCAAACATAATTTAATTGACGCGAATGTTTCTCATTGTCAGAGTTTTCTTAATTCTTCTCTCACAATTTGTCAATTGCAATGCTTTTGAAAAAAGTCTAATAATTTTAATTGGAGGAACTATTTTATCTAATTGTGAAAATAACGAGACAAGTGCATATATGCATTGCCCGTGAATGTTTGCCTACATTTGATTGATCAAATGATACAGCTTTTCTGCACCGTATCACTTAACGTGTCATTCTTTTCTTCATTCACATTCGGAACATACATTTTTGTCGCTGTTACTGACAACCAATATCCGTAAAAGTGAAATGTCTAGTTACTCGTATCTGTACACTGCTTTCCACGTCCAGTAAGAAAGATTTGAAAGGAATGAATTTTTCTACAACGCAAAAATCAAGATTCAATTTTATCCGTAATTTGTGTTTGAATATACAGTTTTCATAAACAAATGTTCAAGAAAATTTATTACCATTCATTTGTAAAATCTTTTATTTAAAAAATATGGTTTTTCAAATATATTGTTTAAACAAAGGGATATACACCATTAAATTTGTCGTTAGAAAACACAAATTTCATCAATGTACACAGGAACGGTATTTCCAACAATTTCCGAGATATTTGACGAAATATGTTTAGCACCACCAACTTTGAGGATAGTTTTCACCTCTTTAACATTGGTGATTGTCGATAAAAAGAAAATAAAGATCAAATATGTTTTTGAAGAATATTGCTACGTTTATGCCAAATCTCATCAAAATCGGCTTGGTTCCCTTGTCAGAATTTTTTTCAGTATCATTCGTTGAACGTGTTGAGTAATTGAAGACTGCTGGGAGCATAATCATTTGAAAGAGACTAAAGATACCCTCCGTTTCAATTGAAACAGTTCTCTCGTAAAATAATTTTTAATTATTTTAAAATGAATTAGAAATCATTTTCAATTACTTTAAAAGTTGGAAGTAAACATTTAGAAATAATTTTTAATTATTTTAAAAACTTCTCGTCCGAGAATTTTTAATTACTCGAGAGAGACGTGTAGTGGATCGTCTAGAAATTACCGCGGTCAAATGTCACCCGATTAAAAAGATGTTTCACGTCTGTTTCTCAGGGATGAGAACATGCCCCTGTGATGTTGCATCGGAGCACATCATCGCGACGCTGTAGAGCATCGCGAAACATGACGAATCTTGGCCACACGTCGCCGATCGCCGGACCAAGAGGACGACGAGCCAGCGTGGCAACCGACAAGCCTGTCGATTTGCCACCGACAAGTCTTCGAGGAACTATGGAACGTCAACGCTCGCCTCGGGGCAGCATCGTGCCCGACATCGCGCTCGACATGGGCAACGACGTCGAGGTTGTTCATGATTGATCATTCCATCTATTACAATTATTCCCTTGCTTCCTCCAAACTTGCATGACCCGTGGGATACTATAAAGCCATAAAGTATACTCGCACGAGTATACTAACGATAATTTAGACTTAGTAAAATAAATTCAACATAATATTTAGACAGTAAGATAAGTTCAGCATAATTTGAGAGCACTCGAAACACGAAACGATGTGTAAATGTTGGATTGGTCAGAAAGTAATTGCGTTTTTCTTTTTTTTAACAGATGGACACACATCCTTTAAACAAATATGTAGGAATCCCGGCTTGAATCCCCAATTTGTAGGAATTTTGTTAAAGGATAGTTGTTTATTTAAGGTTAAATAAAAGAAAATTTGTTTAATGATGATTATAAAGTGACGTTTTACACTATTTTCTTAATTGCTAAACTCGCTAGACTCGCAACTCTCAACTCACTCTCTTTTCTCTCTCTTGCAACTCTCAACTCACTGTCTTCTCTCTGACTTCTCGACACTCACTCTGTTCTCTCTGGCTTCTCGACACTTGCACAAAATTTGTCATTCATACACACATACACACAAACGCATCCATACCCTTAATATCTTAAACGCTAGGCCTGGAGGGCTAGCCTTAAACAATCCCAAGTCCCAGGTCTAACTTTTTCTACAGTTTATGGTACATCACTTGGGACATCTGCAATTGTTGGGCACTGGACAAAGTTCTGGGCCCTTTCCCAGAATTTGCCCATCCCACAAATATATTACGAGATTTAACAAGAAACAATAGCAATGACTATTTATTTCAATTTATATATAACAAAATTTGGTTGATTCTTAACGACTGATAATACAATATATTTCCCGCTATCTTCTTTCTTCATTTGTAATCAACAACGCCGCTTAACTTAAATGGAAAAGAACGCTGTGCAAGCTCGTAAAAAATTATCTAACTTACTCTAAGACGCCTTCAAACTACGGCAGTATCAGAATTGATTACAATGTCAAATTGGAACTTTTTGACGACATCAATTTGGAACCTTTCGTTTCGTCGAGAAGGGTAAGAACATTTTCGAACGCGAAGTCATAAAGTTGCCTGACGAAAAAATAATCAAATAGAATGATCAATATATCGTCTAGTAAAGTTTCTCACGAGAAATTCGCCTTTCGTTTGGACACAGAAACGCGGTTACTTTTTGGCCAACCTGATGCTTTACACATCTTGAACCGTCGAGCCACGATACGAACAAGTGGCACAGATTCGAAGCGAGAAGATACAAAATCCCAATTGATACCGGTAGACGTCGAGTAAGGAGTATCGACATTTCGATGTCCAGGCTCAAAGTATCGCGGAACGTATTACTCGGACGCCCCATAGGCGAAGAATGTCTCTGGAACTTTTCAGGAATTCGCCTGTCTTGCGGGATAGGACGAAAACTATTCCGGGCGGGCTTGACGTGTGCCAATACGTGTCCGCGAACCATGTCTTCGGGAATAATTTCTGAACAACGTGTCCACTTCCTTCCCACGTTACAGTCCCGTTACGTTTTGCAATGTAATCGGTTAGAAAATTGAAGAAAAATTGGAAACTCGCGACACTGGAAAATGGAACACGTTTATATCGTACTGTATCGTAGATGGTGTTCGATCCGAATCCCTTGGAATATTCTTTGCCCGCCGATGTTCAAACTTTCCCTCGTCAGATCAGATTGCAAGTATTACCCGCGATTTTCTGTTACAAAGTTTCATCGCTCTTTCGGGGGTGTTCCTTCTGACCTTTCAGGCTATCAACCACAAGCCTGTGCTGGAGCGAGATCAATATGGCGATACGCGGAACGCGTTCAACCAGAAGATTAGTCGAAGCCCGCGGAACTCCCTGGTTCCGGACGACTACTACAGAACACCGCGAAACGGAATTCGAAGCCCTCGGAACAGTTTGGTCCCCGAGGCCAGTCTGGCGCCGGACATGTTGTACAGCTCGCGACACTCGTTGGTCCCGGAGGCACCTCTCAGCCCAAGAAATTCCCTGATACCGGACTCACTCGCTCACAACAGAAGCCCGAGGAACAGCCTCGTTCCCCTGACCAGCTCGAGGACGTCGCTCATGTCCGAGAATGGGAATCCCCCGCCACCTCGTAGTCCTCGACACTCATTGATACCCAATTCCTCGAGAAGCCCCCGCGGAAGCATCACCAACATGGAACTGGTCGACCGTAGTCCCCAGAGGAGCCCGCGAGGCTCAATAGCCTCGGAGTGTTTGAACCAGAGCCCGAGGAGTTCAATCGTCCCGTACGAGGTGAACAGATCCTCGCGTGGTAGCATCGGCGTGAACGACACGCCCAGAGGATCGATCTTGGTTAACGAAGAGGAGGCGAGAAGTCCGCGGCGGAGTATCGATCCTGACACGATCGACAGAACGCCGAGGGGCAGCCTCGGCGGCCTGCAAGACAGAAGAGCCATGAAGGCGAGCCTAGTGGCGCAGGATCCGAGAAGAGCGTCCGCCGATCAAGGTAAGCAGTTTATTTACCCCGATGAGAATGCTACTCACCGATTATGAGTTACCGATCCGATCGGTACACCGCCGAGATATACAACGCCGAGGATCGAGTCGATAACTGATCGAACTGGAATTCGATCTCGGAACGGAGATAGGAATGGAAAACCAATACTCTTTATAATTAGGTCTCCCCATCGGATAATCGTTTCTATGTAATTTCGAAGCGCGTCGGGTCGGTCACGAAAGCTTTCGTCTGTACCTTGTAATGAGTTTTTATATTCGAAAACGAAATTCCATCGCGATGTCAGCGCGCTTTTTGCCAACCAAGAGGACTAAGTAAGAGTTGGTTTCAAGGCCGAACGATCATTCCCACGAAGTAATATCGCGACAACCAGAAAGAATTGAAGTAACAGCCTTATTACAAATACCTTTAGTTTCTTTTCTTCTTTTTTTCATCTCTATTTCGCGAAATAACACGATTTTTCGTACGAATTAGCTATCGTTATCCACGTTAACGAACAGAGATAGGTTTTATAAGGTGTCTACGAATACAATTTTGCTAGTAACTGTGTACAAGCCGAGTCCAATAGAGCCCTGTGATAACGTAAAAGCAACGAGATTTCGCAATCTTCTAAATGGCCGATGGATAACGTCGTTACCCAGGCAGTTACGTTTTTAATATGTTCGAAAATGGATAGCATCAAAGCCATGCGACGCCTATGCGTCTCGCTTGCGAGAGAACCATTCCGTGAAAATGAAAACCGGCTCGCGCGTACATAAACTCGTTCCCGACGGCGTTAAAGATACCGTGCGCCGCGGCGGATGCCACATTCGATGAAATAATTAATCACGTTAATTCTCTCCTGATCCAGAATCCAGCGGCTGTAAGGTTGACGTGTACGCCTTCCAGCGAACGTGATTGAATTACGTATCCCTCGTAATCTGGAGTCTCGTGGCAATTCGACGCTCGTTACCGATTAATCCGACGCGACATCTCAAGGGGGCCGTAGATTTCATTCGTTTTGCCGAGTAATTTCACAGATCGTTGATTCCACCGCCGTGGAAACCAAGAAACTTACGCCGAGCGAACCTGATCGCTCGTTGATTAACAGGGATACTAGTGTCAAATTTTCCTACTAAAAACTGACTCGACTGACTCGATTGCAAACTTGACGTCGAGGATTCGTTCACAGGGGAAGAAACGACACTCGAGACGATCGTTCGTGTTAAAACGAGATCTCCCGATGAACTAATAATAGCGTGCGATCGTCTCGGGGCCATTACAGCCATTATTGGAGTCGGGATAGGATCGAATTAGAATCGCGAGGCTTGATCAGTTTTCGCGCAACCGCGAACCATTACGCCGGTTAAGCCAATCTTGCAAATGTGTACTTGGCAACGTTCGGATCAAGGGGACGAAGGTGCAGCGTCGAATTGGTACCGTATGAATTCGAGGTGCGAAGCCCATCGTCGAGATAGTTTGACTAATAAGGGTAATTTATCCCTATGGCACGTCGTGATTTGGATATCCATTGTTACTTGACACAACGAGGATTCGACGTAGCGATATACGAAACGATAAAGTAATTTAATTTAACGTTGAACGCGCGTTGATAATATCAATTACACTTGGAGACAAAGAACAATAGAGCAATTTTAAGACATTGCTGTTCAAAACATTGCGTCGAATGACATTTGACAAAATTATAATCGATGTCAAAGATTGCGCGTCGTTCTTGTTAATCGACTTTACCTCCATAGATTCCAGTCGACAAATCTGTATAAATAAGAACCTACAGTTCATTGGCATGGAAACGACGAGCTTACAGATAACTGGATTTTGTCGCGCGACCCATGTTCAGGATGAAAACAGTCGAACCATTCAACACGAAATTGCTCGTGTTTTTTGAACCGTGATGTCTGAACCCGATCGCACTGTGTTTCTCCGTGAAATTAACAGATTGTTTATACAAAATCTCTATCTTATCTGTCCATCGCTGTTCGACTCGCTGTCGATTTATTATAAAAATTCACACGGATTTGACATTGTATTGATTATGCGATATTGCAGATTGTATTTGCCTATCTATCGACTTTATATTCACAGATCAATCAACAGCTTTCATCCCCTCGTTTTATGTTAATGCTAAAACGCAGAACTTCACTCCATTCCATCAGAAACATTCGAAATCGACGACAGACGTTGTTTCGTTGCAATAAATCCAAAAGCTCGCGTCGTAAATTCAACGAATATACGACAAATATACGAATATTCGAGACGTTCTCTGGGAAACTATCCGGCTTACTTCGATAAGTTGCCATCTTTCTCGCTCCCCTCGAAATATTTTTGACGGAGCTCTTCCCCGCAACGCCACGCGAAATTGCAAAATTTACTCCAAAATTCATTCGCGTGGAGAGCAACGGAATTCTTGGCGCAAAGCGTTCAGAAACTTTCGAAATTCTTTCCGCAAAGCTCGTGATTCTCGCATTCGTGGAAACCACAGGAATCATAGACCGGCTTAGTATTATCGCTCGACTAATTTCTATCTGAAAAAAAGAAAAATTGTTTCGTAACAATGCAGGTATGAAAGAGAATCGTATTATCGCTCAATTAATTTCTAAAGGAAAAATGTTTGAAAACAGTGCAACGAAAATTGATGTTCTTAAGTGTGCGCAGGTATAAACGAGAATCGAAATTCGTCGCCGTCCCGGCAGAAGGAGGTGAACTCGGGAAGCGTCAAGTCCCGCGGTAGCGGGGTACAGATCAATCTAGGATATGGAGGGAATACCTTCGAAGATTCTAGGCGAGCCAGCAGCTCCGTATCGCAGGTATGGCATTTTTCATTCACCTTTGAGACAGAGAAGAAACGTCCAATATTTATTATTCGGAATATTCGACGACGAAAGCAAAAAAAAAAAAAAAAAAAGGCAGGAACGTTGCTAGATTGGGTAAAGCGTTTCTTTCTTATGCGCCGTAATCTTCTACCTTCGTACACGTGAAAGCCTCAAGGCCTTGCGCTCATCTTTCCCCCTCGGAGAAATTTCGTTGGACAAAGTGCAAGCTAACACTGCAATTCTTTGAAAGCATTTCCTACGGATTCATTTCTGAAGCCTGTTCCTATTCGTTGTCTCGCATCTCGACGAGATACGAATTTTTTTTTCTTTCTTTCTTTTTTTTTTTTTTTTTTTCTTTTCAACGCAATTTCACCATGTCGACAAACATTGTTACGTGAGAGCGGAAGCAGAATTTGTCGCACATTCTGAAATTATTTCTCTCTGTTTTTTACGAGAGGGCGTTCGTTCGAAGAAAAGTATCAACGAAAGTCTGTATACGAGAGTAAAGTGTCTCACAAAGCGGACTAATTTAAAACCGACCGAAATCGTTCCTTCTCCGCTCGTCGTCAATACTGTTATCGACGAGATTCTATTAACGAGAACTGTGCGTATCCAGAGAGTTCGAAGTGTCGTCCAACACGATACGTTTCGCGATATCACTATAAGATACGGCCGCGTATTTTCCTCCCTATCGCGTTCTTCTATCGACTGTCCTATCACGTCGACCGAGAATGTTTACGATATAACGAACTGCCCCGTGGCCATGTGAGTGGAAACAGCCCCAGGAGGGGCCAAAGAAATAGCTGGCTCGTAAAAAGCAGCCAAGACCCAGACAGCTAACCCCGTTGGATCGAAACGACGTAGCTTTACAGCTACGAATTCGCGCGATCGTTCTCAACGAAGCTCAACAGACTTGCCCGAGCGAACCGAAACGCGAAGGTGACCCCAGAAATCTCTCGCGCCCTCTGAATATTTAAAATCGTGAGACTCGCCTCTCTCGATTGGAGTCTCTCTCTTTGTACGATTTTCAAAAGATGAGAATACGAAATGCTAAGATTGGAATTGGTCGGAGCTGACACTTCAAAGTTATCCTAACCATCTTATTAGTTTCCATCTTAATAGGGTAAAGTGACCAAATTTCTTCCCCTTAATCAGTTTTTAACGTTCATTCGAAAAACTGAATCGCTCTTTCAATCCGAAACAATTGGTGCACTTACTTTGAAAGTTTAGCAACGGAGATGTTTAATCGTTGTTTTATCAAATTTTTCGTCGAAAAAAATTAATACGTGGAAAGATGAATTTTTAGATTATTGAGAAAAGTATCGCTAATTTCATCCCCTCAGCTTTAGTGAAGAAAAGATTGAAGAAACGTCATATTACTCGCTTTAAAAAATGTTTTATCGATCAAAATATACAAGATATCCCGCGATTCATGAAAGGCCCATTGCAAAGTGATTCTACGTGTAAAAATGTGCTGGAAAGAAAGAATAAAATTTGTTTCATTAAAGCCTTCGTTCTCGAGAAAATCGAACTTAAATATTTATTCACGTTTATGAATGAATTCGTTTTGTTTACTGCCGGCTCGCTAACAACGTTTTCATTATAAATTACAATTATCACTAATCACATGCAGCACATAACAGAAATAAACCGGGGAACGAAATTCTGGCACTACCAGGAATATTGTTTTGAAAAGTCACATTTACAAATTGAGTCACGTGGCATTGTAGCAGAAAGAAAATGAAGAGGACATATTAAAACAAGTGATCGAGATCAACCATTCGCGTGCCATTACTACTTACGTAAGGCTAGCAAATGTAAAGGGTGTTGAAACTCTTCTCTCAACCTGGAATGTTGTCAAATTATCGTATTCGAGTGACAAAATGCCTCCAATTCTTTATTATTCATCGCTGTCCATAGGACAACGATTATTGACCTTGATCGTCTAGTTCCACAAAGTCTAGTATAGTGGTTCCCAACTCTCCATCTAAGCATTTCTAAAATCCTATGACACATAATTCTTATTATTCAAAAAGTGAATTTTTTACTTTTTTCCGAAAGCCTAAAAGGCCATTAACTTCAAGGTTAATGGTCTATACAAGCTTCCAATAAACACGACGTCCAAATTAGAAAGAAAACAATTTGAAAGTTGAATTTTTATTTAAAGGAATGCAAAAAATTCTTTCTCATTCTCCAACTGCCCCTCCAATCCCCTAGAAAATTAAATCAAATCTTGGGCCCCACGGATCTAGTACCTAACCACTAAATTCTAGTACCTAAATAACCTAGTAAATTCCACAAAATCTTTAAAGACTTGCCGACACACATGCGACGACCTTTGATCCGATCATGGCAGATTGTGGCTTTCTCTAGCTCGAAATCAGAGACTTGCGGCTTATCTAGCTGCTGTTCTAACACTCGAGTTTGCCCCTTTTTCGCCCTCAGACCGGATCGGAAATCATTTCGATTTTCCCTCTGAGCGAGACGGCAAAGCTCATGAACCTTGAAATCGAACTCGAAGGTTTCTCATAGAACTTCCATTAACGTTACGGGGATTAGGACGGTTGGAAGTCGATCAACGTAAACGTTCGTGTTGATGTTCAGTTTTCAGGCGACGAGTCGCGCCGGCTTTTCACCAGCGGCGCCAAATTACCGGAGAACACGATGGAGAACAGGAATCCCAACTACGGTTCCGTGGTGTTTCAACTGAAAGACGCGAATCTCGAAGCGAGCAACATCTGCGACTTTGTGTTCCGGGGGCTGAAGGTCGTCTGTAGAACAAGAGTGGTTACTGTTTGCCTGATGTGCTTGTCCACGGTCCCGGTTTTCATGCTGATTTACGGTGAGTAAAGAGAGTTTTAATGGCCACGTTCACGGAATTTTCGATACGCTTTCGCACGTGTTTCGCAAACACGAAGATGGCGCAATTTTTGTCGATGTGGTTCTAATTGAAATGGATAAATTAATTGATACCCTGATTATATTAATTGATTATATATTGATTGATCGATACAATAACTGTTATTAATAACCTTAAATTTTCACAAAGGAGTGACACGTTTAATGTCGAACGTTCAATTCCGAGGTCAATTTTGACGTAGACTTGAAAGATTGCCAAGTATTAAGTAGAACGCTTGTGCATATCTTAAATAATAATGGTCGTTCCATTCAGTTGATTTATGAATTAAATTATAAATTTATGATGTTAAATTGTAAATTACTTTAATAGAAGTGAATCCACTTAGTGTTAACAGCGTTAACACTCTTCTACGTCACGTTCATAGAGGCACGAACGTTTCGCTGATCAATTGACGATCGAATGGCGTTTCTATATTACTCATACATTGATAACGAAGCATTTATTACTGGTAACGTATCGATAACGATATAATGTACGCGATAGATAACGAGAGATTAATAATATTACATTGGAAACATTGATGAACTTTTTAATCGTCACATTAACATTTACACATGTAACATACGAGACTCAGTCTCGCGGATTTTTAATAAATTTGTTACCTTAACAGACTCGAATCAAATGTCCATCACAGATCGTGTTCGTTTCTCGTACAATATAGTTTGCACAATACATTTAATAATACAGCATATGCTTATTAATACGCGTATGTTTATTATAAATAACAACTGTCCGATTTATCTTTTTCCTTTCATTTTAATCAAGCCAATGACACGTCCGTTTATTTCGTAGCTAATTAAATCTTTACACGTGTGTGAAATAGCATTAACGAATAACTGAACACTGCTATTACAAAACAACAAAATAACAATTATATAATTTTGTTACAAACTGACAGTAAATAGCTTGTCAAGAAGCTGTAAAATACAACGCGAGACAACAGTACAACCTACGAAACAGAAAACCAGCGTTTCAGAAAGCTTCGTGTTCACGTCGAATCAATACTCGACTTACAAGCAGTTATCAATAAATTAGTCGCGAAACTCGGAGAGCTATCGCTACCGTAACGTTATCACCAATCCGGATTTCCACATCCATTAATCTGAAAAGATTTCACTTGATTTCGCTCTAACTTAGCCATAGTGATGGCTGGAAATTTCACGCGAAATCTTCGCGTGTAATCGAGAAACGAAAATTCGTGTTTATTTCGCGACAACGGATTTCACCAGCATTTTTCGAATCCTTCGATTTTCACGTCGAGAGTAAATCACTTGTTACGACCCGATAGCGTGTACGAACGATTTCTCTTTTCTCTACAAACTTCCTAATTCGTAGATTGCCTTCGTTTTACGAGACGTATCGTATCAGCCGCGATTTGCATACGATCCGACGTTAATGCGATGGGAATGCAGCGCGTTGATGAAGCAGCTTGTTAACTTCGGCGATGCTAATTCCACTCGATTAGACTAGGTCACGATTATCGTATAAGCGCAATTCCGTGCGGTTCGATTTGATGCAAGTGGTACGAGACGATCAAAAATCAGACCTAGCTAACCCACCCCTCCGCGTTTGCGTTCACATTTATATCCCCTAACTAAATCACTGTCAACTGCTACCGCTCAAAGATTAAATTAATTGTTTAAATCAATTCGTAACAAACAGTTTGCCGACTCGTCAATCAAGGGAAAGGCAAACATCAGATCAGCCGATTCTCGAAGGTGAATAATAGAAACTCGGCCGGTTAGATTCGAATTTGGAGCAAAACGCAAGCAAAGATGCAGATACCGGGCTACTCTCGGTCTCGCCACGTCACGAAACGCGGTATTACGCGATTCGAGGCACGCTCTCGAGATCCCGAGACTCGGTGAAACGCGGGCATCGTTTTCGAGCTAATTGACCCCCTGCCTGGTTTTAAGGCACGCGAGCTGCCGCACCACTCACGTTACGTTACCACCACAGCACGCGAGTTCCTCGCTGATACAAAACCGCGTTTCTCGGCGGGAATGGATTCGCGCGAGCCAGCCGGGACAGCGCGTTCACCTCTTCGTCGCGTATAGAACTCGTTCCTCGAATCGATAAAGAGTCTACGCGGCCGGTTCGCAGAAACGGGAGAATTACTAACGTTCAACGTTCAACATTCCACACTGCATGTCTGTGTGTGTGTGTGTGTGTGTGTGTGTGCACTTGGGAAAATTTATTGCCACGTCGCGACACGATAACTGAAACCATCTGAAACCGTTTGCTTATCCGACGAGCATCTGCGCGATGTATTCGCTCGTCGATCGATTCCAAGTATTATCTCTTTTTTTGATTGGTCGACGAAGCAACGTTTATCCAGAGAACCGCGGGAATACTTTCGCTGAAATTCATCGAGATGGATGGTGAAATTACGCCAGGTTAAGGGGGTGAGTTTCTTTCTCTATAGAAAGAGATTAATTGCAGAGTGAATATTTTAACGTCTTGCGTTTCGACTACGGTAGAATGCTTAATGCCAGACCGCTGTCCAACGAAAATGACCCGTTTCTGTTTCTTTGTTTTTTGCAATTACTGAAAACGTGCATGAGCTCTGGGCGCAACGTCGACTTTATCGTGAGTTTCGATCGCGATTTAAAATCGTGATCATGCTCGCTTGCCTCTGTCGTGCCGCTTTAATTGTCACCGTTTCATTTTAATTAAAATCGTGACGTGTAAGAGAAAATTTTTAGTAATTTTAAAATCGTAAACGCGGTGCGTTAAAGAATTTCAGAAAAGTTTAAGGTTGATCGAAAGTCTGCTAAGTGGCTCGACACTCGCAGGTCTTGCCTACGGAATTGCTGATAAATAATCGTAGGTTGGGAAAGAGGCGACGGTGGGCAAGGATGAAAAGCGTGCAAGGGTTCGCATGTCACGTTACCCTTAGTTAAGTATCGAAATAGGACGTGACACAGTGAGTGGAAGTCAGGCAACGTCATTACCATTGCATTATTCAACGGCAGTCGGTGCGAAAACTTTTTGACATCGATCCAACCGGTGTGTTTGCTCGTAATGACCGTAAATGAAAACGTGAAAACAGAAAACCGATTAGACGATTAAGTGAGGATGAGAGAGAGAGAAAGAGAGAGAACTTGCGTCGAAAATTCGCATTTTCCACTTACGGAACGACTTGTCCTGGTTTTTGTTTCAGGCTTGAATTTCTCGAAAGACTGCCCGAGGGAGCCAAGAATACCGATGTACATGGTGATCGGCGGTACGTTTGGAAGCATGCTCATGGCGTTGCTTATCTACTCGCAGATACGCTCAAGGAGACCAGAAATGATCTCCGTTCCCTCGACCAGACCTCAAATCTCTTTCAGAAAATTGATCATCATCGTCTTATCGTGCTTCCTGTTGGGATGGTTCGTGATGGGTAAGTCGGTAGAAAACTCGAAAATTTGAGGATCTACGTGCATACACACGGCGGAGAAACACCAAGGTTCTTTATAGACGGTACTGGTATAACATTTATCTCGCGAGAGAGTTTATTTCTCGCGGGGGGGATCGATCACGTGACTGTGTTTAATCGTTCCCGTGTTTTATCGCGAGTGCCGAGTAGCGTGCTTCGAATCTCCAATTTCCACTGTGCTCTAGTTATAACGCACGTATGAACAATTTTGTTAATTCCTATGTTCATTGGGTTTGCATTTCGATGAATTTTTCCTTCCTTTCTTTTTTTTTATTATTATTAAGAAACAAATAGAAGCAGCAGCAAGTGATAAATTGAAGGAGTAAGAAATTTCGACTTATTTTCGTACGACGAGGGAAATCGTCGATTGGTAGAAAAAGGCTCGAATGTCGAAAAATTCGATTCTTGCGGATATTACGCGAACATCGCGTCGCACCGTGTTTTTTAAACTGCGCGAAACGATGCAGCGAGCAGAAACGATCGATTCGCGTCCGGACGTCGATGGTAAAACTGGCACCGATGCCAACCTAATTTTCGCCTAGTTACAAAAACCACTCGCCGCACGCCGTACGTTTGCAAACGTAATTATATATCCGTTTAAAAAAGTAACAAGCCTTTAGCTTTGAACGTGCTCGCTCGTATTCGCGACCAAGTAGAGTTGCTTCGGGTATGACACAATCTCGCTCGTTACCGCACAAACGGTAGTAAACTCTTTGACGTTGGGAAAATATTCGCCGCGGACGAAACTGAAACTGCCCGTTTAATTTTACAAAAATTATGTGCCCGACACGAGGCAGACGTCAACGATCCATCTGTCGACACGATCCTGTTACAAATTTTCATACCACCGATCCTCCTACTCGATCTTTCCTCTGTTTCCAGGAAATTATTGGATACTTCACATCATGTGGCCACCGTACACGTTCTTACTGCACACTCCGAACGACTACTGTCACAAGAATCTCTATCTGTTCTCGTTGGTACATCTGGTCGCGATATACGTCACTTTTGGGATCACGCTGCTCGTGATAACCGTGCTGGCGTCCTTCAGAATCCTGGCGTGTCCGCTACCAGAAAGGTAAGCCATGGTCAATCGCGTGAAACCGCCGATCACGATCGAACCACAACAACGCACAAATTTCTCGCCAGCAACGAGATCGGATCCGCGACGTGTCGTTGAACCGAACCGTCGAATCATCAAACTGTAGAATTTAGTTCGTGGGATTTTGCTGCTCGCTGACGCGATATATCACCGTGTTCTACATTTTCCGCTGTGGATTTCCGTGCACAATCGCGCGCACGAAACGCATTTCACCGTGCAAAATCGACGCATCGAAACCGCAAGCTAACCTCGCTGCAGTGTATGTCTCGTTGCAGTTGCAAAAGAAGAATTCGCGACGAAGAAAAGAAAGAGAGTCTGTTCGAAAAGGTTAACACGATAGATTGGAAGTAGAAGGTATCTGGTCGCCCCCACTATTTTCCGTGGAATCCGGTTGATAAAATGCTTTCAACAAAACGAAGAGGTTATAAAGCTTCGCTACTTTACCAATATTGATACTCCAGTACTCTCTTTGTTATATAGAAAGCGTGGCTGTTTCTCGCAGCCGCGGCCCACTGAAATGCATAATCGAATTAAGCGTAAACAGAGGCCGATATCGCGCCGTGCCTATCCTATTTACGTCCGGGGTTAACCGAAAATTCGATGGAAATTAATCGAAAACCAGAACGCGATACCTGCGATCCACGCGATCGCCACCCCCTATCCTTTCCTCGTCGCGTTGCAACGGGCCTCGCAAGCCAAACTTTCGACAGCACCCTCTCCCCCCCTCGCTCCAACAGTCTAGATCGTTACATTCTGCCTAGCAAGACGTCGAACTTCTTTGCCCCCCCCCCCCCCCCCCCCCCCCTCCTCCTCCCCGTGGTACAACGTATTCTAGGGTATTGGGTCAGCGACGGTAGAATCGGGCGCGCGGGCATTCCGCATGCGACGCGAGCGAAAGCCAAATATTCTATACCCGGAAAGCAATCAGCCGCTGTACGTACACGTACACGTACATCTATACACGCTAACTGGATGTACGTGCAAAATAGTAGGTCAACGAATTTGGTCGCGTGTCGGCGCGGCAGCGCTCATAAATACTCGGCCGAGGAGGCCAGAAGGGAAATCAGAAGCGAGCGAGCGAGCGAGTCGGGGTATCGTTGCAAACGCGTCGATGAACCGACGCTTCGTTTCCCGCTTCCTTTGGTCGCGTGCCGCGGAAAAAACTGCCCGCGATTTTTTTTCTCTCTCTCCTTTTTTTTTCCTTTTTCGTATCGCTCTTCTTCTCGTTTCCTTCTGTCTTCGTGTTAAACGCGGTCTCGCGTGACGAGAGATCGAATCGGCGAAAGAATTGCGCGACACGCACGCTGAGCATTGCGCGCCGGCTGACCGGGTCGCCGCTTTTTCTCACCGATCGATCTCAACGCCGCGCGGCAATACGTTTCGAAAAGCGTTACGCTTCGGTTTTTCAGTTTGGACACCGTGGCAGGAGGTGAGGAGGAGAATTCACGAATGATTCATTGGCTACAGTAGAACTCCATTTGTTCGAGTCCATCTGGTCGTCGATGGTCGGTTGTTCGAAAAGACGTAGAGTTATTTCGTTATTTCGTTGGATCGTCATTTCCTTTCCCTCGGTTGCGGTTGCAATTTTGTTGTTGGAAATTTTAACACACTAAAGTACAAATTTCTACGATTTTTCCGAAGGGAGACAAGCGTTCGAGAAATGTAGTTTCATTTGCGATACGTTGTACTACTAGGACAGATAATACTCGCCGAAGCATGAAAAAAAGTCTTAATAACTTATAACTTTGAAACTATTAATTTTTCGATCCATGTTTCTTGAGACTTTTTTTTCATGTTTCGTAGAAATTATGAATCTTTAGTATATGACTATTAATTTCAACGTCTTCTTCGGAACTTATTGTTAGTCAAGAATGAAAATAACGGAACAACGATACCCGGAGCTACGATACAGTAGACTTCTGTAGAGTAAAAATCGGAAAAGCGTCGTTCGATCGAGTGATCCATCTTGTAGATATCAAATAATATTCCACGAGAGGTGGACGTCGCGTGATCTACGGCACATTTACGATATTAACCTATCGCAATAAAAGAGTCCATCCAACGAGGACAGTGTCTTGGGAATGGTACGAGTTCGAATATCTTCCAATCCACTTTAAGTGTTCGCGGTGTTTCCGTAGGTCTGTAAAAATAGTATCTTGCTAAAATAGTATCATCTCTCGTATCATTATCTCGGCGCTGAGCTAAATCGAATGCCTCGCGACTCATGTCGGCTCGTATCTTGACCTCTTTTCTTTCAGATACAGATAACCACAACGGTTCATTCACGTAAAGGAAGTGATACCAGAGAAACGGCGGATGGAAGTTGGGATTGGCCAGAGCGTTGTCCAGGGGCGCGTTTTGAAGTCTGTCGTGAAACGAGACGACGAGCATCGCGACAGCGTCTCCAACGATAAAGTTATCCCCGCCGAGTCGGCACCAATCTCGGCTCGTAATTTCGGACCCTCGAGCTGCAACAACGGGAAGGGGGTACATTTCCAGTTGAACGCGAACCGCGACGTTGAAGCATCGGGAGCAGACAACGGGAACGGACAATTTGTGACTTAACAAACTCCGCGAGAATTGAAATTCATTGTTGAGGATTGTTGAAAGCACGACGTACGGATCGTGTCGGACCGGACACCGAATCTGGGAGAATGTTATCAAATCACCAGAGGGGAAAAAAAGACACATACACACACACACACGCGCGCGCGCGCGCGGGAGAGAAAGAGAGACAGAGAGAGAGAAAAATGTGCTCTGCCCAGCGACTATATTACCTGTTGACCTGCTCTAAACAGAAGCATCGGACAAAGGAAAATTGATTTCGGGAAAATTGAAAATTCCCACGCCAAGATGAAGCGTTCGCGGAACAGGGAGAATAATCGGGATGCCAGTTGCTGTGGGCAGTGAAACTTGAAGTTTCGAGGAATCCGTTTACGAGGAGTTTATCACACGGGATTTCATATCCGATACCCGGATACCTGGCCCGCTTTGTAGGATAGGAAGAAACCAAGGCGAAAATACCTGAAAATAGAAAATAATAAATAGAAAATCGTGGAATGGGAAGAAACGGCTGGATCAATTTCGAGTGAACCAACGAACGAACAGCAAATAACATTGGATCTTTGTTATCACAAAAGCTGCCTCGACTTAACGCTGGATTCTAATCGAATTCAACGACGCAGCGGTTCCTCCGTGAACCGCGTTTCTGAAAGAGAACCATGGAAGAGAAGTCACACGCAATGCGAAAAGAAGTCAGCAAAGACAATTCCCTGCCTAGACTGTCCCTGCCTATATCTCGACGACGACGAGGAAAATTCGGATCATCGAAGAGGACCTTGCATCTTTCACGGTGGATTTCAGCAGAAATTCTTTCGTCAGAGAATCATCGACCAACACTTTACGATCATTCACTGATTGCCGATATTTGGTGATATTTACCAAAGAAATCGAAGGTAAGCGACATGCTTTTGTTGTTTCTCCTACTTTCTTTTTCTTTTTTTTTTAATATTTTTCGACGATCTCGATGAAGTTCTTGGAATCAAATAGACGTCAATTTTGTCGATCAATGCTAATTACATCAACTAACAATTGCAAAGTGTTGGGTGTACTTTTTGCCGACATTTTTGTCCAAATCCGTTTGACGAGCTTTCTCCATAATATATTGACTGGCTAACGCGTTTTATTGTCACGTGAAAATCTGTAGAAAGGAAATTCGTTGTACATACTACTTTTGATAAGTGTTTCTACCGGCGGTTATGGGATTCCAATTCATTCTGCATGACGTACCGCGCAGCTCAACCCTGAAATTCATTTAACTGTTAACTGGTTTATTACGCTAACCGATGTTTCTCTTTTATACTTTTATTCGTTTTCCATATTTGTTTTTTCTATTTTTTTTTTTTTTTTGTTTTTTTTTTTATTCGTTTAATCGTAATCGTTTGTTTTAACTAGTGTTTCCCTCTGTGTACATTTCGCGTTCCACGTTGAAAAAAAACGCATATACGCGTTCTGTTGCAAGAACTTCTCATGGATTTTCGTTCTCGCGCGCAACACGAGAGTCTGCAGTTAACAGTTAAATTCTAATTGCCACGATATGAAAAAGGTCGCCAGAGTCGCAACGACAAAGCAACAAAAATCATCGTGTTTGATGTTTCGTCGATTTATGTCCGTCATTCTCACAGCTCGAGTCGACGAAAATCGTCGTGTCGTCGCAGTGTCGAACAATGTAATAGAAAAAAGAAAAAAGAAAGAAAAAAAAGAAGAAAAAATGATGTATCCCGTTTGTGTCTGTTGTTAACCATCGCCAAGACTCGAGTATATCGCTACAACCTGACACAATGATAAAGCCTAACAAAAGGTACGTTGTCTGTAAAACTATTTTAAGGATGATGTATCGTTCGCTGTAGTGTCGTTCCTTTCCGCGAGGTAACGCGTGAGGCATTCGTTGAGAATGTCCTCTGTAAAGTCTAATGCTCGTGTGTCTAATGCGCATCGATGATTGCCGACTATAACCATGAAAAGCAAGCAAAAGAAACAAAGAAGTTCTCTCGCTCGAGAGGGGACGGAATGAATAAGTGTCAATTAAATAAACGCATCAGAAACTTCATTCTATCGCTGTGGAATGCTAACGGTCGATGACACTTTGATGTACACACACACAAAGACACACACACACATGTATATGATATATATTCTGTATATGTACATATATATGCCTATACACGTACGCTCTTACGGTATTAAATAGTCGTTATTAAAGAATCGACCAAAATAAGACAAAATAAGGGAAAGTGCTCGGACAGATATTTCAAAAGTACGTGAGAGTCATCTAGACCAGAGTAGAACGTAGAACAAGGCTCATTTCCAGTTAAACACATGTATGTACGACGTCCATGATTGCTCGATGATTCGAAAAACGGGTCCATACTTATAATCGTCCGTGCGAATAAATGTTACTAATCTGTAATCGTGTAAACTACTACTACTACGTCGATGTAAAAGACGCATAGTAACAAACAAACAAAACAAACAAAAAAAAAAACAAAAATGTGTGTGAACCGTCTTTCTTAGGGAGCTAAGTACATTCGTCAATCTCGCGGTCGCGATCGTTCTTTTGAAAGTCCTCGGTCGATAATGGCGGGTGAATCGTTTCGAAAGCTACATAGTACAACATAGTAATTTCGAGTCGATCGAACTATACGAGAGAAGAAGTACGCGAACAATGGGACAATATTTATTTGCTCTATCGAGCTGATATACGTGCGTGTATGTTTGTCAGTGCGACTGCGCTGACGAGTTTATGACACTTCGTTGGGAACACAAGACCATCTATTAAATTGCTGAACGCCGGGGGATAGAATCGGTTGCCCGATTTTCGCGAAACCCGTGCCTGGCGAGCTGAAATCATCCGGAAATTTCATTTCCGAGCTGTCAAACCCGTACGTGTCCCGTGATCCGTGCTTTATTAGATGCAAAATTCTTCGTCTTCGGCAATTTGACTCTCGTCGGGGAAACGCTCTTAAACGAATTAAACAATCGAAGGAAATTCTATCATCTCGACCTAATCTGAAGCCGTTTGTAAAATTTCGAGGAGGGACGCGCGCGTGTTGGCCGCCTAAAAGGGGCCAGGCACGAATCTGGTCCATGTGCACAACGAAGTATAAAAAGGAACAAGGTACAGACCGGCCACAGAGAATTTCGCAGTAACTCGCACGCATCGTGCGCGTGATAGAATCCAATTTGGGGACGACGTAGAATTAGAGGAACGCGAAGTGAAAAAAAGGGACCTGACTATACAGTTACGTTTGAAATTTGTCGCGTGATGCTTTCGAGGGATTTTCTAATGACAAATTCGGGTTGAATTCGCTCGATACGACGTTCCGCAGATGTCTCTGCGAATTAATAGAATTTACCGAGAAACAAGAACGCTCAATCTCCGTCTTCGCCGCTTGCTCGAGAGACAAATGTGCACCTATCTATCTATCTTCGATCATTTCGTTCGCTTAAAATTCACCAAACTCACTGTCGTGTCATGGGAAAAAAAAATCACAGACGTGAGCGCGTTCGTTCGTCATTCAATTATGCAGAGTCCACTATTCACGCGCTTGTCGATACAATCGTCGTTTACAATCATAACCAAAGAATCAACGAAACGTACTACTCTCAAACGATTAGCATGTGGTTAAATTAATTAGTCGAATAGTGACGAAATCTATCGAGTGTCTATCGTACGAGTTTTCATTGTCGCCATTCACGGCCGTGCGAGGTGAGTGTGAACGAATGAATGGGTCGCGACGCATGCTAAAATTTTCGCGATAAACACCGTCGGGCAGATCGTGAAAACGTGAATCAATATTTGTCTCCTCTCTTTTCATTCTTTTCTGGAAAAAAAGAAGGAGAGAAAAAAGAAAGGACCAATTTGATTTTTGAACTCGCGAGATAATAGTAGAATCGGGACAAACGGTCAGAACGACGCACAATGCGACGGGGATTTTAATCGGAGCCCGGAAACTCGCTATCTCGATAGCCACGTGGAATCGACAGGCGCAAATAAACTCACCCCCTCCCCCCTCCCCCGGTTTCGATATCCTTTCGGGAGGGGTGAAATATTCGCGGGAATATTTTTCGCAGACGCGAGAGAAACCAGATATATGTCGGATGTTGGCGTGTCGGAGTGCCCTGAAATTTCAATTAAAATGTTGCGCGATGACAAATATCAAATTAACCAAATAAATGAGTTCGCGATTTGATTTGACGTTTTCACGAATCCCGATACCCCGTAAAGTGGATGTAATATAGGTTTGTATACACGCATATATACATGTATATAATCGCGTACAGAGATAGATATATACATGAGTATATATATATATATATATATATATATATATATATATATATATGTATATATCTCTGTCGCGCAAGTCGCGAAAGGGAAATCCCTTGTGTTACTCTCGACGTACGACGAGAATCCGTGGATCCTCTTTCGCGATTTCTTCTGATCCGTAACACGTAAGGATTAACGATTGTGTTGATACATCTAATATTAAACGTGTCGTTGGATTTACATAGAATAGAGAGCTTATTTATTTTTATACTGGATGGTTTGATAGGATCCGAGACATTTAATTGAACAATATCGCAAACGAAGCGATGATATACGCTATTTATTATTACAGCGAGGTTTCTTCGTTTATCCAGAATTACGCGCGACACGCGTCCGTTGTTTTCGCCCGTTGATTGACAAACCCTCATACTGATTGAATTAAATGTCATACGTGTACGTATAATAACACATAAACGTATAATAAACATATCTCGTAATTATGTGACAAATTTAACGTTTTTTCAGTGAGAAGATTCTAGAAGTGCGCGCGAAGTGCGTTTAGCCGTGTCGTATGCTATTTAAGTAGTAGATTAGAATTATTTGCACGCGCTAACGTCGCGAATGTGGTCCAGGCTTTAACGTAGAGTTCACAACGTCGTTAACACCGCCCGAGTGTTTCCCTATCTGGTGTCGGAAATAGCGATGGAAACCGTCCAAACGCAATCCGACCAATCAAACTCTTTATTTTTCGATCTCGATCCCCCAGTATCGTTACAACCTCTGGTTTTATACCAGCCCCGTATATCGTACAGTCGCCCTATCCTTTCAGAAACCAATTTCCCGTGCTCCGTCGTCAACGTATTATTACGTTTTTCGTCCAAGAAGCGGTACAAAAGTTGCCAGCGCTATTTACGAGACCGTCGATTACATTTTTCTACACCGTTCGCGCTACTCGCGTCGTTTCGATATAAATATACCTCATTTAATCGTCTCTATGCGTAGAGAAGTCCAGTTAGGGATACATTCTCGCATCGCACGCGAAGTTGACATCGAAAACATTACCTCTGACGGCGAAGCGCCGGCTCATATTACACGCATATTCTTATTCGATCATTCGTTTCGACGCGGCTGTTAATAATAATTGGGCCGTCCGACTCAGCACGAAATAATCGAAAATAGTCTTAGAAGAAACGTACAAGAACAAAGGCGGAAACCATGTATGCGAACGTCGATGAACAAGGTGCACGTTGCAGCGTGTACGCCAAAGTATTCCGCGATTATTAAATAGCGCCGTGCCTCTATTGATCTCCTATGGTTTACAGAGGACAACAAGGAGAAACGCTTCATCTTCCCTCCGCCTCCCCTCCATCCCTTTTCTGTTATCGATACGATCGCGATTAGAATAAAGACCGCCAAGTGCAACGAACGACTTCTTTCGGCTTATTATCGAATATCGAGAAACGAACGAAAAGTGAATTCCTAACGAATAAATAAATAAAGTCTCATCCCCGTCGCGAGAATCAGCTATCTTGTAGTCTCGTCGAGTTCCAAATAGTTCCAAATAGCCTTGAACATTCCTTCGCGAGACCATTCGAACGAGCATCTCTCTGTCTCTCTCTCTCTCTTTCTTTCGTTGACATGGCCACTTGACACCCTCTCGTTTACCCGAGAAATTAGCGTGATTCGTAGAAACGTGCAACGTCCACGCATCGATTCTGCGTCCATCTCGTCTGCGGGGCAGCTCGTCTCGTCCAACAGCCAAAGGAAACGAAGTTGTCTTGAAAAAGCTCGGAAACCATCACGGAGCAGCGTGCTCGGTGACCCGAAGGAGAGTTTTGATTTCGGCTGAACGAACCTGAAGATACACAACTCGGTACACTACTCTGCATTGGGGAACGAGACGTCGCCACGTGTCGCAGACTCGTCGCATCCTCATCCACGACGAAGACTTTTCCAAGGGTCCAATCATTACTTTCGAATTACCATCGATCGCGTCACGCGGTGACACTTTTCCTCCGCCTGACGCGAGCACTGTTCGCTTCCGAAAGCCCACGCTCAAGCCACGCAACAAGCTGCAAAAAAAAAAAAGAATCGTATCCACGCGTGCCTGGCAGCAGAAAATTGGCCAACGATCGGATATCGCCGATTTCGAACGTGAAATAGACCCCTGTGGAGGACTGTGAGAGAACTTCCGGAAAATAGGGGGAGGCATATTGAGAATTATATTTTTAGAAGCGCCACTCAAGTTTCGAGTGAACTTTTCACCGCGACCAATCGTAAATACTTGTAGTGTACACTCACTGTTAGAGCAACGTACTCTTCGAAACGGCGATACGCGCCTTCCGATCGCTAGAGAAATGTCCGTGCGTGATTCCGATGTTCTACCGATCTCCTCTGATTTTTCTCGCTGTCAGGCTCGAACAGTGGCAACGTTTGCAACGTTTACGCCCCGTTTCGAACGATAGATGCACTGCTCGATTACAATTCCCCGCGCGTGCTATGTATCTAATCGTTGTAACATGCTTCGACATCGACCACCTGACACGCGAGACGTGTATAACGATCTTTCGGAACGTGTTTCAGCTAGTTGTACATCTTTTACGACCGCGTGCTTGCACGGCTCACGTAAAAGGGGATGCACGTCGCGCTCTTTGTCAGCCTGTTTGTAACAGCTACATACTTGGCGCTGTGTATGCCTGTAAAGACAAATACGAGAGGCTACCGTCTCGTCGCCGGTGCGGCAAGGAAAAAGACGTCGCACGTCCGCGGCAAATAAATTTCGCCAGAATATTTAATAACGGTAGTGAATGTAACTTGCGCCGAGACAGAGGGCGGGGTTGGAGGGGTGAGCGTTTCGCCAATAAACGCGGCGGCGGCCATTTAAAATAAATTGGACGTCGTATTGCGACGTATTATCTGCACGTAGCAGGCGACGAGGCTGCGCCCGACACCGTACAATGCCGAAGCTTATCGCCCCGACGTGTTTCGTTAAATTAAATTACCCTCGGAACCGGTGAATTCCGCCTGTTTCTCTTCCATGGCCTACAACCTCTCTCTGCCACCAGCTTTCGCAGCTGCTCGCTAATCAAACACGTTTGCGATAGAATCTTTCGCGCGCATCCCCCAATTACGTGATACGGGCAATATTTCGCGATGATAAAATCCAAATAACAAAGGGGAGAAAATAGGTGGGGGGAGGGACAAACAAAGGGAAAGGTGAATGAGAGTGGAGGAGAGATCGAATGAAGAAGAATGCGGAAACACGTTCCGGTGTCCAGTCGAGGGGAAAATCGTGCGACCAAACAGTCGAGCAGTGCATGTATATCGTTAAATTCGCGAGTAAAACATACGCGTGCACGTAACCTCTGTCTCTGTCTGTCTGTCTGTCTGTCTGTCTGTCTGTCTGTCGCTGTAGAATCAAGAACGAATCGAGTATGTATAACGTAAGATAATCCTGTACACGTACACTCGCGATATATACCACTCCATTTGCGAGAAAAACAAATGTAAGCGATGTGGTAGACTCATATTGTGACCCATTTATAACGTAACCGCCGAGTACTGGGAATAAAAAAGTGTCTACGTGGTACACGTGGTGTCTGCATTCTAACCACTGCTACCACCCCGTCCATTAATGTAAAACCACCCGTCCATTTTCGTTCCCCCGTTACGTCCCCCTTCTTCCTTGTCACTTCTCCATGCAATATATTCCTACCGTTCCATTATTACCATTGAAGACTATTGTATCAAACGCAATAGAAACGAGAGATGAAGGAAATAAAGAATCATCGGAAGCTACGTCGATCTCTTTCGAGCGGAAAATATCTCATTCTCTGATGCTTCTCTAGTGGCTCACTGCGAAATTGAATTAAAGGGAGAATAAAAATGGTACGGAGGGAAATATTTCAGAGCTGCTCGATGAGGCGGGAGGAAAAGAAACAAAATTTGCGTGGATCCGTGAACGGGCTGGTGACCAGAGAAATGCAATTTCTCCATATCATCGCGACTTGCTAATGAATTTAAGATTCGATTAAAAAGGTAAAGGGAGTAGCTGTGATTGCTTGACTCACGGAAGAATTGATCCAACGACGATCAAAACGATGCACGATTCAGAATAGTGCAAAGTTGAATTAGTGTAATTACGCTGCTGATTGATTTAAACGCGTTACCATCGATCTTCCCACACGAAGCAGTCAGATCGTTTTGTTATTCGCTCACATTTCTTGCGGTTTGGTCAATTTGCTGTTGGAAAATTGTAGAAATCGCTAGATTCGCTCTACCCTTTCCCTCCTTTAATCCGATCACGTCTAACGAACACGGCTGTGCACAGAGAAGGGAACTAAAACGGAACTAAAAGTAGCAGCGTCTTTTTTGTTCGAGAAATCAGCGTACTGCACAGTTGTCCCGCGCAAATACGGAATTCAATCTAAATGTAAATATATCGGGCCGTATTCCAGAAGGACGTGTACCACCGCAAAGAGTAAAAATATGAAAACACGCGAGAGGATGAACTTTGTGTGTCCATTTCCGAAAATTCCCGTGACTTCTTGGTAACTATTCTCGATAACCCAGAGAATCAAACAATCCAGAATCAAACAATTTCCAAAAAAATGTGATCAACGGAATTGCTCTTTATCGAGAGAACAGTCGTCGGCAAAAAAAGAAAATATCAAGTCACGTTAAAAGTTTTGTTATTTTTAATCAACAGTTTTGACCTCGATCGACCATTCTCACGATGTAGGCCAATGGTCTTCGTTTTCCTAGGCTCTTCCACGAAAATGGAAGAACATGGTTGATGGTCGCAAATTCTTCGATAGATTGCTCGCGTAAGGTGCTTAAGTTCCATCGGCGAAAGATCGCCGCAGCGTTTCACCGTGGCGCGTAAGAGGATTACCAACGTGGATGTCGATAGCTCGCAGAAAATGGACCAATGGAAATCTGCCCTCTTGTGACAACATCAACGCCTTTTCGTCGTGAATAAAACGATACCGCCTCGACACGATATAAATAAAAGTCATTTTATTTCCCCTCCGAGAAATTTGTCCGTCATTTACGATCGCCTATTAACACGCCGTCGCATTTCTGCGCAATTCCCGCGCGACGCGTTCTCGGTTTGCTCTCTGATTTCCTGACCCGTATTCCCGCCCCATACAGTTTTACCTTGCAATTTGAATTTTTATTCGTCCGGATTGCGGCCGAAATCACTGCGTTTTCCAGTTGTCCCCGAGGGCTGCACGAACCGCTACGAAAATTGAGGCTGCATCGTCGAGTACGTATGTATGTAGGCGTACACACACGCGTGCAAACGCAATCTCTAAAAATTCTGGCGACTTAATCACTGCATTTATCGCGTGACCGATTTCTGTACTCTCGGACGGAGTGGTATTAGATCAGAGCGTTTGAATATCCAGTTAACTAAGAGAAAAAGGATTCGTGCGAATTTTTCCCTGCTGGAGGTAACCGACAGGAGTCTACTATCGAAGACTAGAATGTCTGGCCAGGCCCAGTTTCTTTGGACTCGTGTTTCCCTTTCGAGTAACTCGAGTGGCTGCACTTCGGGGTTGACATTTGACGATTTTATTCGAACCGTTCGCGCGCGCGCGCGCACACACACACACGTGCATAATACACGGCAATTCTACTCGTGTCACGTGACACATAACCTACCAAAAAAAAAAAAAAGGATCACGACAAAGGAGCCGGTCAGAAGAATGCCCTGAAAGAGGTGGCATTAATTCCCTACGTACGCGTACATATATGCGTACATATATGCGTGCACGCGTAAATGCCCGCGTTCGTCCCGACAGCCGTTTAATTGTGCCTAAAGCTGTTGCGGTTGGCCAATTAAAATTGTGGGAACGGCCCGGCCCGGTGATGTAATTTTGATGCGCAATTGTTGTTTATTCCACCATTGTACATCGTGGAAATAGTACAATGATCTATAAATTTATCGATATTACAACAGTTTATCTCGCAAATTGCATCTCTCTGCAACGCTGTTGTACGGTTCCCTAACTGAGGTAATCTATGAAATTTCCACCGTTAAAAACCAGAATTCAATTGGCTAGAACGTGGGATTTCGCTTGATGCAGGGAAGTAAGTTTTATTATTTGAGCAATTCGTTTTACAAATATTTTCACAGTACTTTTATATTCCCACGTGTGCATTGCTGTCTCTCTCTCTCTCTCTCTCTCTCTCTCTCTCTCTCTCTCTCTCTATCCACAGCTACAACGCGCGAGAGAAGGACTGCATCGATCATAAAGGCTCGAATATTCATCGGGATTTGTGCGCCGCCCGTAGGAGTTTCATGTTCTAAAGTAATTCGCGCTCGCTTTGCGTATTGCGGTCGTTTGTTTTCACAAGTACGACGCATCGGTCGGGCGCCAGTCGCAAGGGCGAAACGATGGAGCCTCAACGTCCTTTGGATCGGGCGAATTCTACTCGATGGGACAGATTATGGAAATTTATTCCGCGCTGTTTCGAACGGGGTCAAGGTTGATAAAACTCGTGCTCCGTTTTAAATGATTGAAGCACAGAGAATTGTTCGAACCTTGTCGAATCTTCCCATTCGTTTAACCTCCGGGAGTAATGCCGTTGTATTATGAAGTGAATGCATTACGAACCCGAAACTTTTTGTCTAGTTAGCGAAACGAGACTAGACTCCGAGATTCCTGAGATCCGAAAGAAAGTTTCCCGAGCAGAGGAGGATTTCACAGGAATTTGTAGACTCCTATTTACGATGAAATAGAACGCTGATAGCTGGTTAAAAGTCAAGTTTCGCGTGTTGTACGTGTACAGGGCGTGCGGATCATCGGAAATTACAACTCTGAGTAACTTTTGCTTCCCGAGTAACTTCTGGCAACAATGATAGCAACTTCCACGTCCTTGGGCATGTTCAGTTAACGCGCGATCCCGTTCCCGATGATCGTTCAACCGCGTTTGAGTGAATTTCCACAAGTAAAATAATTCCAAAGGATCTCGCGGAGATCTCACAACGAATCGTCTCGACTCGAAACGAGGCTGAAGTTCAAACATTCTTCGACGTTTGTCGCGAGAGAATAATATAAATTTCATCGCGACAGAAGGAGGTACGCGCCATTCAGGGTGCACGCGCGAGAAATGTAATCAGAATCGAATGATTATCCATCTACGATGGATGGAAGTTGTAGCTGGCAGCCGGTCAGATCTTATCGCGAAATGTTAATATCCCGTTCAGCACGGTGAATACGTACGTTCGAGCTTGTGATTAAAGTGGGTAATGCAGCCCGGTGTCGCGTTACCCGCCATATTGGCTTGGACGCGACAACCGGTGCGCTCTCTCGACTCCTGTAGCTCTAGGCTGCGGATAAATCGGCATTGTACAGAAAGTTTTTCTATTACACGTCGCTCACTGGCCCATTAACTGGCTGTAATGGCTGCTTTACATCGGGTGGAAACTGCAACTGGGGTACATTGCAACCGAGTGAAATTGCTTCCTCTCGTTTAACGTATTGTGGCCTGCTTGTACCCGCGACAGCGAGATATACGCGAACTAAATTTAAAGGCTTAACACGGTCTGCACGCACTTTATTTGAACGCTTCGAATGCGCCGAGACAAAAATTACGGAAAAAGCAAAATTAGGAATTGCACCGATGTCGCGTCAGATTGGTGGCAATTTTTCATTTTCTCGCAAGCGCTGCGAACGTTTAAGGATATATTGTAATATTGGAAACGCAAACTCACTGCCGGTAAATTGAAAGTTTCTACGATTCTTTCTCTCTCAAGAAGTAACGTATAAAAACATCGACTACGCTACGTTTTACCTAGGAAACCAGAAAGAGAGAGAGAGAGAGAGAGAGAGAGAGAGAGAGAGAGAGAGAGAGAGAAAGAGAAAGAGCGGCGATAGAGTCATGAACTAAAATTAATTCGAGTTATCGTTGCAAATTGTTTCATCGGTTCTCCACCGGACGGAGGACGGAGAACCGGTCCGGATTGAATTTATCGTCAAATCTGGCATCTGCCGAAATGCACAACGTTCTAATTCAGTTACGAAATAACAGAGACGCGGAACAATCAGACGCGACGGGGAGGGTTAAACGGCGTTGTCAAAACGAATTAAACCTCTCAGATGGATCTACGTTGACGTGAACACATACACATTGGACACATACACCGGCGCTTTCATTCGAAACCTCGAGAACCCGAGCTTTCTGCAGATGGGGCGGCGCGATTGCATTTCCCCGATCCCGGCGTTTAACCTCTTCGATACGTCGATAGAGGAGGGGTGGCATTTGTGCTGTTTCAAAGAAACCTTCGATCGATCCTATTGTGAAAGGACACATTGTAAGGAAGGAACAGGTAAATGCCCCGCAGCCATCGACAACGCATGGATATTGCTGCCCCCTTGTCCCCACCCGAATTTCTCATTGTCCCCGTTGTCGATTAAACCTACTTGCTGATGAATCGACACGTCTTCAACAGAAACCAGCTCGAGTCGCGATCGATTGGTCCCCGTGTTTTAACTGACAGAGTGTTTGCCTAAAATGCGCTCGAACGCTTCCATTAGTTGGCCATTCACTGACGTATGTACATTCACGGTTGTTAGCGGC